CCGCGGTTCCCCATTCCCAGCCAGTTGGAGCTGCTGGGGGCGCTGCCTGAAGCAACAGCCACACATAGCCCCTCGCCGTCCCCCCCCCCCCAATGTTCCAGCCTCTTCCCGGAGCTGCGCAGGGCAGGCACGCAGGAAGCATGCCCTGCTCCTGATGCACGTCCGGCCGGAGCCACTCTGGTAAACACTGGGGGAGGGCGGGGGGGCTGCGAGGGGCTTGCGGGCCGCAGAAAATGACCCGCGTGTTTGAGACCCCTGTGCTAGATGATGACTGGCAGTACCCACTGAGGCAAGGTGGGTTTAGAGGATTGAGGGTTCCCCTGGGAGGGGAAATACAGAATAAGGGGTTACTGTGGGGGCAGCACCTCAAGGTAAAGGGCACTCGGGTCCGGCAGGGACATGGATGCCAGCGGCAAGCGAGACACTGGCCAGTAGGAGGCGCTCTGTACACTGGAGAGCTACTTCCCGAGATGACCAGCAGAAGGCACTGTGCTGGTGAGTCTTGACCTCGCTACAGCGCCATTGGATTAGAGGAGCTTTTGTGGCAAGTACCACCAGTAGAGCAATGTTTGTGTAATATAATATCATAAGCATATTTTCATAAAGAATGTAGAGTATAATATCACACCCCACATGTATGTTTGCTGCTCTGCAAATAGTAAAGGAGCATGCACCTTTGGGTCTAAATGCTCATGACAATAATGCAGAGCCATGCAAGCTCCATGATTCTGTGTGAGATGGCAGACAGTGAGGAGGGCCAGGCAGGTTAGTGGGTTTAGAAAAAAAGGTGTAATCATTATGTATACATTTATGTATGGGATACTTATAAAATTAGTGGATGGTTAACAATGCATTATAAGAAGTTGGATCCCATGGCCACAACCACCCCGTCTGACCTGTTTGATACCCAGCATATACTGCCAAACCAAAGCTTCCCAAAATACAGTGGGTGGATAGTGGGATATCTATTCATGGTGCATCTCACTCTGAATCTATACAAGTGCTTCTGGTGAGTACCCTGACTGCTGAGGCAAGGAGTCCAGGAGGCATGCACACAAGTGACATAGTAATGGTAGTGACTCTATGGTGACATAACTTGAGTTAACCCAAACTTAAAGTGTACATATGGCCTTAGGTATATTAAATGTTTGGGAGTATGAGGGTAGACTAAGATTCATTCAGGTGTTTAGGCTCAAGGCATTGGAACTGGCCTTACTGCACCATACAGGCTCAGGAACAAAGAGGCACAAAAAAAAGGTATCATTTATTTATTAAAATTTCTTGACTCAAGGGTGTATAACTCCATGATTTTAGAATTCTTGTGATTGTAAAGGTATCTTGGGGTTGTAGATGTGTGTTCGTTATGTTTTGAAAGGAAAAACTAATGAACGGGTTGAACAAAGAATTAGATCAGTCCCTCAGGATAAGTAGATTGGCTATTAACTAAGATAATCAGGCCCATGCTCTGCATGTCCCTAAAACATTCTTTGACTGCCACATATTGGGAGTGGACAATGGGATGGTTCAATGGGTCGTTGCCTGGTCTTGATCATTCCCTTAGAAGTACCTGGCATTGGCCACTGTCACAAGACAGGATACTAGATTAGGCGGACTATTGGTTTGACCACCAATATTTACCCCATTGGTGGATTGACTCAAAACAAAGTTTTGACAATAGGCCAGAAATTCAGAGTGGAAGTCAGATGATCCAACAGAATAAACATCTGCTCTACAAATGAGAAGAAAAAATTAGAATTAAAAATTCAGGGAATTCAGGGAATCCCAGCAGCAGATAAGACAACTTGACTCGGAGACTTTATGCATTCAGATACAGTGATAAGGGATTCTTTGTTTCTGAGGGGATATATGTAAAATATTTCACTGAATTAAGTTTGAGATTATCTATACTGGCAAGTTAAAATGCTCTAACTTGCTAGTTCAGGGGTGTGGAAAAATCACAACCCCCCCCCCCCCCCCCCCCGACGCGCAGCAAGTTTGAGCGCTTTAAAGCGCTAGTGTGGACAGGCTCGGCTCCCCGTGCTTGGAGCTAATTCCCTCATCGAGGTGGATTACCAGGAGCACTGGCACCTGTGACATCCCTTTGAACTTTGTAGTGTAGACATAGCCTCAGTAGGTTAGATCAGACAAAGAGGAGATGCATTGACTAGGCATTGGGATGCCTGTGCCTTTAAGAACCCAGCCCTGGGAAGCCGATGCTGAGAGGTGCTGTCTGTGAGAGGGGGAAATAAAAAAGCCCCTTTGCCCCCCCCCACCCCCCATTTTGGCAAACACTGGTGTCTCAGTCCCACTGGGGTAACTGCTACCTCCTCTGCCCCTGCCTGTGCTGGGTTTTGCCCTCTGCCAGCGCCTCACTCCTGGGCTTAACTCCACCTTCTCCCCCCCCCATCCCTGATTTTCCCTTTAGCCCCTCTCCTAATCCTGCCTCCAGCTGCTTGACCCCTCTGACCAGTCAATTTCTGCCCCCCTGCTCCGATTCACCCCCTTTGCCACTTTTTAACCCTTGTAAATAGCAGTCAGCAGATTTTTACGGCTAATAAGGGCAGGGTGAAGGGCAGTGGCTTCAGCATCTGTTACTGAGCATGCTCAGTTCGTGTGACCATACAAAAAAGCCACTTTGTTCAAATAAAAAAGCCTCTCGTCCCCCCGCAACAAACTATTTTGGCAAACACTGGTGTCTCAGTCCCACTGGGGTAAGTGCTACCCCCTCTAACCCTGCCTGTGCTGATCATTCTGACATCCTCTGGCAGTGCCTCACTCCTGGGCTTAACTCTGCCCCCCCATCCCTGATTTTCCCTTTAGCCCCTCTACTAATGCTGCCTCCAGCTGCTTGACCCCTCTGACCAGTCAATTTCCACCCCCTGCTCAGACCCTGGCCACCCCCCTGCTCTGATTCACCCCCTTTGCCACTTTTTAACCCCTGTCAAAAGCAGTTCGCAGAATCTTATGGGTATAAGGGCAGGGTGAAGGGTAGTGGCTTCAGCAGATGAACTGAGCATGCTCAGTACACCGTAAGTAACACATTACTACGCAGCACAATATTGGTGGCTCACGCTCCTGTGTGTTGCCATAGCGTATCGTGACAATGGACGGAGCACGGAGACCAGCTAGGTTAAGTTGTCCTCTCCTATTTCCATCCCTTTCTCTGGCTCAGTTATTTTCGTAACTGAGGTTTGTCTTCAGACACTTGAGTTTTGCAGGTTCTCTCGTGTCATTTGTGCCTGGCTTCCTGCTGTGATCGCTGCCTGCTGTTTTGTGTTCCTACTTGTTTCTGGGTCTGCTACAGATGAAAACAAAGCTATTCTGCAAACAGTGTCAAGGCTTGTACCTTGTCCCATAATAGGTTACTGGTGAGAGAACACAATTAAGCAACATAAGACAAAAGCTAAATAGATAGCATCATGGTCACTGCTCAGGAGTCAGGACAACCACAGACCTGCTGTGACATCTTATGCAATCCACTTCATCTGTGAAGCAGAGAAAATGCTTTCTTCCTTGGTTAGTAAGTTTGTGCTTGCAGTATATTTTAGGGGGAACAAAGAGTCCTGTGGCACCTTATAGACTAACAGACGTATTGGAGCATAAGCTTTTGTGAGTGAAAACCCACTTCGTCAGATGTATGACATTGCACGTCCATGTAGTTCTTCCCTATGAGTAATTTTTCCTTTCTAGACTAACAATGCATTTAGCATGTGAGTTGTTTCCAATGTATATTATTTCTAGATAAATTGATGCTGTATGGGTGGTTCTCAACCTTTGCAGACTACTCTATGCCTTTCAGGAGTCTGAGGCCCAAGCCCCGCCACCCAGTGCTGATGCATGTAATTTAGCTTTGCAAGGCCTCCTGTGGCATAAGGCCCTGGGCAGTTGTCCTGCTTGCCACCCTCTAACACTGACCCTGGACTTGTGGTGCCTCTAAACCCGTCCCGTGATCCCACTGGGAGGCGTAACCCCTATGTTGAGAAACAGTGATGTAGATGAGTTGACGTGCCATACCCTGGTTGAGAACTACTGATTTAGATAGCAAATAATAAAAATGATTGTCCATGGGCTTAATCCTGTGAGATACTGGACACCTCATGTGAGCTGAGCACATATCCTCATCAACTTCAGTAGGAGCTGAAAGAATTCAGTACCTTTCAGAAAGTGCTTGGCCCTGCACAGAATCTGGTCCCTTGTTAAGATTGATATTGGCCCATTTTTGAAAGTAACTAATGCAACTTATTCTGTGTGTTTTCTTCACAGATATTGTTTCGGGTGATTACTTTTGGCTTAAATGCATTTACTCTCCGCTATGTATCAAAAGAAATGATTGGCCTTGTGAATGTAAGGTAATGAATAGAATTGAAGGTGAATGATTCCAATATAGAAGTTTGTCACGTTGTTCCTTGTCTAAATACAAATGAAGTACCTGGGCTTTCCCTAATGCAAGATTTTTAAAAAGTGGGTGCATGGTAGCATAACGAAGATGCTGGTGTTAGTACATTTTAAAGGCTTGAAGTAAGATTATATGCCTTGTATTTAAAAACAAATTCTTACCCATTTTGCTAGTAACATTTCAGAAAAAAAAAATCTTAACAAAGTACTTCTTGGTATTTTGTGCTGTTTGCTTGTTGGATTTCTCTAAATCTGAGCAAGGAAAGTATATCAGTCCGTTTCACTTTCTGCCTCATGGACTAGCAGGATGACTAAGTGCATTGTTTAGAGCTGTTTCCAGTGGCATTAGAAACATTTCTGTCTGAATTTTGAACTGTACAATGGTATGCCTGTAATCTTGTGATAAGAGTAGCTTTATAATCAGTTTTGAAGTTATGAATGAGTAACTGTCTAGTAGGTTCTTAATATTCAATATTGAACATACAGGTACCTCGTGTTGGCTCTGGCAAATCTTAAGCAAATTGGGTAGAGTATTCCCTTTCCTCCCAACTTCCCTGGGACTTGCTTAAACCTTACCTGGTAAAGGTTGGAGCAGCCATTTGAAAAACACTGCTGTACTCTTATTCCTCTCCTGCCCTTCAGGAGAACTGTATGTTAACAATGTACCACATGAGGAAAAAAAATACAATTTGCCTATATCTGTATTAAACCTTATATCATGACACCACATCTTCCCCCACTGGGAGCAAGTTGGTCAACCCTCTATTATGCACGATTTTTATTATAAGATCATCAATTAGAAATAAGTTTTTGCTCCATGGTATTTAAACTATGTTTATAGGTAAAGTACCTTTGTCAGTTTAGTTTTTAAATGTCAGTTTAGCCGCTGTAGTGCTGTACATGAAGACAAGCCCTCAAATGAATCACTTTATCTTTTTATCCCCTTTCTTTAGGCTAACATTGCTTTATTCTACAGTTGTTTTCTTAGCCAGAGAGGCGTTCCGTAGGGCTTGTTTGAGTGGCAGCACAAAGCGAAATTGGACCAAAACTATTAATCTTTTGTGGCTAACGTAAGTTTCCTTTTGAGATTCTTATGTATTCCAGTCTGTTTATAAAAGCATTCATTGCCAGATGTCTGAGCACATATAAAGATGAAAATATGTATTTACCTAACTAGACTACTGTTCCAGGATGTAGCACATTATGATCTCCTCAGTTGCAGCCTGAAGACAAAGACTCAAGGCATTAGATTAAATGGGATTAATGATACTTACCTCCCTCTTTAAAAGTGTTTTGAGATCTACTGATGAAAAGTGCTGTATGAGAGTTGAGTTAAGTATTATTGTTTATACTGTGCTCTTAGTATCCATGCCCTTGGCCTCTTTTGGAGCTATACTAGGGAAGTAAATTCTATAGTCAAGATACACACAAGGGAAAATTTGATTATTTAGGAACATGTACTTCAAAAGTATTAGAACTAAATTCCTTAGAGGTTCTTATACAGCATTTATCACCATAGTACCTGAACGCCTTCTCATAGCGCCTTAAGCTTTGTGACTAGCATCTGTCGTGTGTGTGTTTGCTTATCTTCTCCCCATGGGGAGAAGTAAAACCGAAAATGAAAGTTTTAATTTATGTGGAGGATCCAAGTTTGGATCTAGAGCTTGATCCCAAATCTCTTTGGGGTTTGGAGCACTGCGAAAGCATTGTGGTTGGTCCCTGAGGGCTCGGCTATCTTTGGTTACTTTAGAGGCTAATTAAGTACTAGAATTGTCTGCTCCTGGAGGAAGCAGAGTACAACTTTTGCTTAGAAGTAATAGTTGGCCCAGTACAGGACCCTGGAGTGGAACTGCGAATAGGAGAATGAGAAATCAGAGAAACACGTTGTCCTTCCCTCACCCACAAAACTGCCACATTTAGATAAGATCAGATGTGTGCTTATGTTTTCAAATGTGGAAGAAGCAAAACTAGGTGCCTAGCCAAAATGTCTAGCAGCCAAAATGTAGCGTGTTATTTTCTTATTACTTATCTTCTTCAGGTTTGTCTATGCAAACATTTAGTTCATGGCAAGCTGGGGTGTGACTCTAGCCCATTACTAGCCTGCTGTGCACAAAGTATCCATGTGAACCTTGCTGATGTGCACTGACAGTTTCTTAGTGTACTTTATGTGCCCTGCTTTGAAACGAGAGTAGATCAAAGCACTAAGGAACTGTTAGTGTGTGTCAGCTGGGTCCACATGAACACTTAGTGTGCCCCAGCTTGTTGTGAACTAAGTGTTCCTGTAGACAAGGCATTAATTTTATTATTGTTTAACTTACATTGTGTGGTAGTAGCTGAAACCAGCCAGTCAGGGCCCTGTTGTACGAAGTGATGTAAAAATATTGTTACTGTCCATATTGCTTAAATTGAATTACAAATAGTTATTTCAGATATGGTAAAGCAGATAAATAAAAAGGCCTGTTTGTATTAAATAAATAGTGTTGTCATCCATAATTGAAATTGTGCTAGTAATGATAATTTGCTATGGCTGTAATTATTAATGCTAAATCTCCAAGAGAAAGCAGTTTTTCCTACCTATTTGTGTGTTCCAGGGGCTTTTGCTATGGCTTAGTTTCCAGTCTGGGTTATCATAGGGTAAGATAAATTGTACAGTAATTCCTATTTCTATACTGTTACTTTATTAGCAGCATAATGCAGTAGTCATTAGTATATTGTAACTTATTAAAAGATTTAGTATGTCTTTCTATAGTCTTACTGAAGACTGGCTTTTTCAGAAAGAAGGGTCTGTCTTACAGCCATGCAAGTGGTCCCCTAGAGGTGAGGAGGCTGTCTGCAGCCTCTTACGTGGTGCACTTGAGGAGGCACTGAGTGGGGTAGGCCTATAAAAAGAAGTCAAGGGAGTTTGTTAGCGATCTTTTTAAAACAACAGCAACAATGGGCAGGGTTGAGGGTTTTTTTGGAGCAGTGGGTGGTAATGGTTTGAACTTTTTCTATTTGAATGTTTAACATAAGCACTACAAAGAAATTAAATATGAATACTTGTATCCTGTAGTATCAATTCAAATATTTTAATTGTGTATATAGCAAAGTGAAAACTGCACGTTTCCCTCCTCTTTTGCTTGCAATATGTGATCACTTAATTTAATTTGTTTTTTTGCCATTTAGACAAACGTCTCTATAACTCAGAAAAACAATTTATTTGACCTTTCCTTTCTTTCTTTCTTTAAAGAGTTCCTTTGGGGGTGTGTTGGTCACTGTTCCTGGGCTGGATCTGGCTACGGTTACTTGAAGTTCCTGATCCTAACTCCGTTCCCTACTATAAGATTGGAGTAGTTGCATTTGGTCTTTCTGCAGTGGTTGAACTTCTAGGAGAACCATTCTGGGTTTTGGCACAAGCACATTTGTTTATTAGGCTTAAGGTTAGTAAAATGAGCACTATATGCATATACTGGATAATGGTGGAGAAAGTCTTGATTGAAGTAGTCAAAGATGACTGGGGTATTTAACCACATAACTCTGAATGAAGTTAGACTAGTGTGATGAGATACCTAATATTTAACAAATGTATTTAAATATACATATATAATTGAATATGCAGTTTGTGTACACTTCAGGTCTTTTGTCTGATGCAGTTGGCAGTGAATCTGTGTTCTTTTCCCCCTCCTCCCCTTAGGTAATTGCTGAAAGTCTTTCAATAATCTCCAAATGCATTTTGACAGTTATTTTAGTAGTGCTGTATCCACAATGGGGACTTTACATTTTTTCTTTGGCCCAGGTAAGTTTTCTCTGTGTTCTGTACTGTATATTTGTGACTCACCAAACTTCTAATTGCTGCTGCCTCTTGGATTTAGCCAATTAACTAATTCTGAAAGTAAGAGGAAGATGCTTCTGCAATATTGTACAGAATACTGTTCTTGTATATTGGTGTCCACTACACACTTAGCATTGTGACTGACCCAGATTAGTGCTAACAGAAACATGCACCATGTTTTATGTATGCATGCACGTTCTCCAAATATGGACACTTATTATTCTCTTCTTATTTCTAATTCACTTATACATGCTAATGATCTTTTTCTTTTTGATCTTGTTACTTTGAATTCCTACTGTTTGCAGCAGGAAATGACTATGTGTGTACCAGTTCAACAAATATGTTTTGATTTCCCCCCCTTTATTGTGGTAAAGATCAGATGATTTTGTGTATGAGAAATAAGATCTTGAGTTCTTAAGCAAAGAATTTCAACAATAAATATGACCAAATAGATCAATGTTTATTTGTAACAGCTTTAATAACTGGCATTTAATATTTGAGAATTTATTCCAAACTAAGAGAGCCTTTGTGCAGACTAAATACTTCTGTTGTTTTTCTGTGGTGTGGTAGTGCTTAAAGGCCTGAGCCCTATTGTACTAGGCACTGTAGGAACATAACAGACCTGCCCCCAAGACTCAGACTGATTTATAATCATAGCAGTTGTATGGATGGTGAAATAATATATGGACTGAATCAGGATTTGAAAGATAGCTGTTCCTCTGTTAAATACATGCTTGAACACCTTACTTTAGGCATAACAAACTGTATCAATTACATTTGTAACCCTTTCCAGTTTAGTGTCTAATCCTGCAAAACTCTACTTCACAGTAAGAATTTGTAAGATCAGGCCCTTAGATTGCAAATACCCTGCCTTTAATTTTTCTGCAAAATGTAGTGCATACCTGTGGTGTTATAATATTAATGCTGTCTGTCACTGCTATCAATCCTTCCATTTAGGTCCCCCTTTTACAGAGATTACTATAATTTGGCTGCAAATTTCAACTGTTTCGAATCGTTTATAAACCTCTTCTCCATATATAAGTGCTTGTGGCACAGATCAATACAATAAAATAGTCTATGAATTAATTAAAGCTTTATAATTAGATATCTACTAACTAGGACAAATGAATTGGACAACACAAGAGGAAAACAGTGCAGTGAAAGACTTGTGTGGTCTCAGAGCTTTGGCTCCAAACATCTACGCTACACTTTTTAGCCCTTCAGCCTGAGCCCTGTGAGCCTGAATCAATTGACCTGGGCCAGCTGCAGCCATGCTGCAAATCTTTTATTGCAGTGCAAATATAACCAATTTTAGGGTGGAGATCACAGATCCGACACAGATCCGGGCTAGTGATGTTAAAATGTGCTGTTTAAAAAAAAAAAGGGGGATTTTTGTGTGTTAAGGTGACTAGTGATAGTAGTAATTTTGGTTTAGAACATTTGTTTGTAAACTATTACTATTTGACATTTCAGAATAATTGTGAGGTATCCAATTATTATTTAGCTGAATCCTAGTATGTAGTTTTAAATCCGTAGTTTATATTATGTTTCATATATTTATTTTTTTTCCAGCTTTTATACACCAGTATTCTGGTGTTGTGCTATGTAATGTATTTCATGAAGTTTTTGGGTTCTCCTGAAGCAACAAAGAAATCTTTTCCACTTTCTAGAATGACAGATCTGTTACCCAACTTGACTGAAGACCAGGTAAATTGCAGAGCTTAAAGTTTTTAATATTGTAGTCTTCCATGAATAAGGGAATTTCAAAGTTGGTTTTGCTGAATAAGGAGAAACTACTTGAGTAATACCCATCTTAAGTGTGAGTTTGCAGGATGTAGCCTCCTTGCAGAGGATACAGTTGAGTAAGAACATACAAGTTGGGTAAATTATTCTTGTAATGGTTCTCTTTGCATTAATAAAGCTTTTATTACTATTTAAAACATGGCCACCACCTCATTCTGGTCAACACTCTGGTTCCCCCAAACTTCTCAAGCACTCTTTTTATTGAAGTGAGAAATAAGATCCGTTATTAACTAGCTAATTTCTTCGATGCAGGATTGTTTCACTGAAATATATTTTCTAGTGTTTTTGCATAGACCTTTAAGAATGTAGCTGCATGTAATAAATAATGAATAGAATGAGCATTTGTGATTGAATTCCAAGCTGGTTAGTTTCTCTCCTAATGGAATGATAATCTCACTGTTGTGCTGGGAGTTTTCTACCCAATGTTTTTGGAAAATACTGAACTCTGAAATATTCAGAATCCCTATTCAGCAAAACATGTTCCATTCTCTTCGTAGATAGGGCTCTGAGGAAAATTGTGATTTAATGGATTGGGCAAAATTAGCCCAATACCCGAATTTTTCCATCAGTGGGGAGATCGAAGTGGGCACCTGTGCGCACTGGTCTGGGGCTCAGTGTGGCGTGTAGCATGTGGCAGTGTCATATTGGAGCAGCAATTTCAAGTGGTGGCTGTCTTGCCTCTCATAAAACTGGCTGCTGAGTCCACTCCCGAACTGCTGCAATTTACTCTGGCTGCTGCAGACTTCTTCCACGCTCTCTTCCTGTCTGCTGCTCGGTGTCCACCTGCCTGCCAAGCTGGCTTGCCTGCTGCAGGCTCAGTAGCTGTTTTTATGTGAGTGGCACTGCTGTTCTTTGGTGCACATGCGCAGCTGCGGCCTCAGCAGGGAGGCAGAAGTTGCACCAGCTGCTGTGTCTCTCTGCCTCCCCCCCCGAACTGCTGTCCAAAATGATGATGCTGTCCATTACTAGCCACACCGAGTATGAGACCTGTATGCACAGATGCCTGCTTCTATCTTCCTGCTGTCAGAAAAATTGCAACAATTTAGAGGGTGGACTCAGCGGTTGGGGTGTGCTCCTGTCTCCCCAGTGAGGCTGCAGGTGCTCATATTCCAAGTGGTGGTGGCAGCACTGCTTGCATAAAAGCAGCAGCTGAGTCTGAAGCAGATGAGCCAACTTGGCAGGCACTAAGCAGGAGAAAGGAAGAGAAGGAGGAAAAAGTCTGCAGCTGCCAGAGTAAGTTGCAGTGGTTGGGGGGGTTTTGGCATCCGGTTTTATGCAAAAGGGTGAAGTAGTGACCTTTTGCTGACTGCACTTTGTGCATATCCTGTGAGAAATTTTGTAGAAAGCCTTATTTGCTTTAAGCCGTGCATATGTATTCAAGATGTCAATGGAATGTAAAATAACACCCATTAACTTTTAGCCTAAAATGGTACTACCAGTAAATCTGAGCAGTAGTATGAGCTATAGACATTAACTAAACCGTTCATGTCAGTCACGATTATTACAAACCATTTCATGCTGCTTCACCTGATGAGCTCTAAGGCACAGCTAAATCTGTTATTACGAATAAAAAGTGCCTGCAAACAATATAGAACGCTGTTCGCAGTGTTACTGTAGCTGTGTTGGTCCCAGGATATTGGAGAGACAAGGTGGATGAGGTAATATCTTTTATTGGACTGTAGAGGAGCGGACTCACCCCTGCGGCGCCTCCTGCTGCTCGTCTCTGGGAATTAGCTCATTTCACCGTTGGAGCGCCCCCTGCAGGCTGGTGGTCCACCTGTCCTCCGGCCTCCCGGACCCCGGTGCCCTTTTATCTGGGGTGCTGCCCCCTGGCAGTACACCCCTCAGTACTAGGGTCTCCCCTCCCCGGGGAACCCTCACCCACTATCCCTACCTCGCCTCAGAATAAGCCCACTGCCAGTCACCAACTAGCCCCCGCTCCCTGGAGTGGCTGATACTGCAGTCTGCCCATCATAGGCAAGGTTGGATTTGGACCTACTGCCTTGGCCTATCCCTGGGCTGCCCTCTGCAACCCCCAGTATCTCTTGGCCTCCTCCTAGGCCGCAGCCTGGGGCTTTCCAGGCTGGAGCTCCCCAACTCCTCAGCCTGTCCCCAGCCCTGCTCCACTCAGGTACTCTGTCTCTAGCTCGCTGCAACCAGACCCTTCTCCCTCTGAAGGCAGAGAGAGACTGCTTGGCTTCTGGATCACAGCCTTTTTATATAGGGCCAGCTGAGGCCTGATTGGGGTGTGGCCCAGCTGCAGCTGCTTCCTAATCAGCCCGGTTTAGCAGCTCCCAGCCACAACCTTCCCCCAGGGCTCTTTAAGCCCTTCAGGGCAGGAGCGGGGTAAGCACCCTGCTACATGGACCAATTTCTGTTCAGCTCTGGGCTGAAGAAGAGCTCTGTGTAAGCTCAAAAGCTTGGCTCTTTCACCAAGAGAAGTTGGTCCAGTAAAAGAGATGACTTCACCCACTGTATCTCTCTAATCTAGAGTATTAACAGAAATAGTGTTACTCATCTCAAGAATTAAATAAACCACTATTTTAAAAAATGCATTCACAGTTAAGCAAAAGGGAATCAAAGCAGGGTTTGTCTGCTCTGTCAACACAAGACCTCAGAGTGGGAATCTTTGCTCCAACTTGCCCTTTGGCTGTGATTTAGTTAATCAGGGATGATTTGGCCACGAATCTCAGTATATTAAACCTTTCATTGTTCACAATTACTGCACTAGGCACCCCCTTCTTAACTAGAGAGACATTTAAATGTTAATAGTTTGCTTCCTAGGGCTTGGAGCACTTGCATGCAGTTCCAATTAGATGTAGACCTTATTCTCTCCTTCTCCTAAATATGGGAAGCATGAGCATCAGATTGCTTTCTCCATGCTTATTAATGCTTCTACAGGAGCACTGTGTTCTCCCTTCTTTCAGCCTTTCCCAGTTGTATCCAAGATAGAACTTTATTGAGAACAACTTACTCCAGGGGTGGACAAACTACAGCCTGTGGGCCGGATTCGGCCTGCCAGCTGTCTTAAGCTGGCCCTTGAGCTCCTGCTGGGGAGTGGGGTCTGGGGCTTGCCCCGCTCTGATGCTCCAGCCGGGAGCAAGGTCAGGGGTCGCTCTAAGCAGCTCCCAGAAGCTGTGGCATGGCCCCCCTCCGGTGCTCCAATGGGAGCTGCAGGGGCAGTGCCTGCGGACGGGGCAGCGTGCAGAGCCGCCTGGCTGCGCCTCCATGTAGGAGCTGGAGAAGGGACATGCCGCTGCTTCCAGGAGCCTCTTGAGGTAAGCGCTGCCTGGAGCCTGCACTCCTGAGCCTCTCCCTATGCCCCATCCCCCTGCCCCAGCCCTGATCCCCCTCCCATCCTCCAAACCCCTCGATCCCACCCTGGAGCACCCTCCTGCACCCCAAACCCCTCATCCCCATCTGGAGCCTGCACACCTGCCCCAGCCCTGATTCCTCCCCCTGAACCCTTTGGTCCTAGCCCAGAGCACCCTCCTACACTCCAAACTCCTCATCCCCAGCCTCACCCCAGAGCCCATACCCCCATACTCCATCACCGCCCAGCACCCCACTCCCTGCCCCAGCCCGCACCCTCAACCAGAGCTCTCACCTCCTCCCATACCCCAACCCCAATTTTGTGACCATTCATGGCCCGCCATACAATTTCTATTTCCAGATGTGTCCCTTGGGCCAAAAAGTTTGCCCACCCCGACTTACTCAGTCTACTCAGGGTTGGCATACAATTCAAGACTCAATAACAGAACAACATTCAATAACTGAACTTGAGACGGAAAGAAAACTGACCCTTCCTAATGTTTCAGCTGGCCTCATGGTAGAGGCTTAGCAGACTAAGTGATAACAGAAATCTTACTGCATATCAAGGAATCAGCTGCAATATACTTCTCCCTGGTCCCATCCTGTGCTGCGCAATGCTTCCTGGCAGGGCCGGCTCCAGGCACCAGCTGAGCAAGCTGGTGCTTGGGGCGGCAGATTGTTGGAGGTGGCATTCTACCCAATCCTATGGCGGCACGG